CCCGCGGCAGCGGCGCCGCCCGAAGGACCTTCGTCTTCCGAGTCCAGAACCAGCACGTCGTCCTCGTCCGCAGCTGCAAAACACGTTGGAACTCAGGCGGACGCTGCAAAGGGAGTCTGCTTTCACCCCAGACAGCATCTACAACAACGGGAACGTCTCCAATACAAGTACACCTTGGAGCAACCCTTACCCGTATTCTTCGTCATTCAGCTGCGGGAGTATTTGGGATTTTTCTGAAATCAGTAGAATATAGGCTTTTCACAGGGTTATTCCCCCTTCATTAGAGGTAAGGAAGATATCGCAATAACCCAGAAACACGGGAAACGCATTAGCACAGTTTCTGCTCATGGACAGGACAGAAGAACTGCATGCTGTCTGCCGGGGTCCTTGAGGAAAGAGCTTTTACACACAGTGAGCTATAGTCCAGCCTCTCCTTTCACTAGTGCATTCGACAGAACCCCCAGTAAGGCCCACGCTCGTGAGAAAGAGAGCACACGCAGAGAGAGGGAGGAGCACAAGGGGGAGCAGACTTAAAGAGCTGCAGGATAGCAGTGGATAGTACACAGAAGGGAAAATAGAACAAAACGTGAACTTTCAAGACATCTAGTGGACTTTGTTTTGCAGTACAAATTCACTGTGAAAACTAATTTTATGCTAGTTTTTCTTTTTGAAATAAATTTTAGCAATACTCCCTTAACATTTAATCTCCCGTGAAACACAAGGCAATGGAAGCAGCTCCATACTTGTGCACATCTCTTAAATAGGATCATCTGACAGGCAAAGGAACATCATCCAAAAGTGTAAGACAGAACTGTAGATACCTAACTTATATCTGTCACAACAAGTATGCAGATTCATATGCTAACCCTGTAAAACTGAATGTTGCCAGTCCATTAGCCTTCAGTGCTTCAGCATCCCATGCTCATTTAAGTTAAACTAGTTTAAGTATGTTCCAACAAACACTCTGCATTAGGAAGGTGATGACACTTCTTCCTGGATATCAAATACTATTGTCTTGCTATGCATTGCTTGAGAGGTGGAAAATTATTTTGTAAGCAGATAACAAAGACATCTTCTTAAACTAACAAAATGAAACATGATCAAAGATATCCACCAAATAATTTTTTTATCTGTAGGGAGAAAGTGACAAATTTGGTTGATTCCTTTTTGTCAAGCACTAGCATGACCGTTGGAGAGAAGTGGTCTTACTTAAATCATTGTGCAAATGATGCACTTATGCTGACAACCCCCAGGCCCCTGAGAGTTAAATAAAATCATTTCAAGGTGTGTTTACTGTATGCCTTTGTAACAATCTTAAAAGTCAACTTTGTAACAACTGTAAATATGCACTTTTCTATGTAATGTTATATTTATACACAGAAGCAACTTAAATGCCATTTACTTAAGACTGGAAAATTTAAGTCATAAAATTGAAGACAGCTGTTTTAATTGGACCACACTACTGAAAGACTGTTTTGCTTTATTTAATATCACCTACTTTTATTTTATTTACCTGTTGATGTTGAGGGTTGTGCTCCATCATCACTACCATTGGTAATGTTCTTGGATGTTGGTTCTGATGGTTTAGGGCCAACTTTTTCAGGGCTATCACCAACAACTTCAAATTCTACATCTTTTTCTAGGTCTTCACTGCAGAAAAATACATATGGCTTTAAACAACCAGGTGAAAATAAAAAAATTCCATCTTTTTCACAAAGAGAGTATGTCACTCCAGCACTAGAGCACCTCGCAGCTGTGACAAAGTGCCAAAAACATTAAAAAGAGGAAAATCTATTCAGACCTGCTTTCTAACTTATGCTTTGTCTACTCATAAACACTATTGCATCTGGTGCCATAGCTTAAAATGCTTAGGAATGAGAAAAATCACCATTCTTCCTCAAAGATGCATTCCTAGTCTCACTGAAAGCGCAGTGTGTTTATTTACCATATAGAATATGTGCATTACTTATCCAGGGCTAAATACACACAGCAGTTCTTTCTAGGTGACTTCCATTTGCACTGCTGTATCTGAACACAGGTAGTCAAGCACAGGATCTATGAGCCTAGAAGGCAGGGAGGGTTTTTTGCCTTTTAATTTTTTTTTTTTAAATGGCAGTTTCTCACTTGTTCACTGTCCCAAAAGTAAATTTGGTTTATTTGAATACGTTTTTTCCTAATTATTGTTGTAAAAAGCCAAAAAACAAACCCCTTAACAAGCAAAATATCCCTAAATTAATTAAAAACAGCAATTAATCTTTTAATTCTGTATTTTTTCTGCAAGTTTTCAAGCTTTAGTCATTAATATAAAATTATGAGTTGAAAATTCCCTGCAGAATTGCTCTGCATATATACACAAAAACAATTATTTCAGAATCCTTACCTGTGAAGCACATTGATTAACAGTGTATAGTCCTGGAGAAAATCATCTGCTTGTAGTCGAGTGCCATTTCGGATTCCAAAGTCTGATAGTTTCCTGTGGTTATTTGCTAGAAAAATAGTGAAAAAATTCAGTGTATACAGCCATTTACATAAAGATCCTTTACACCTGAATAAGCATGATGAAATAAGTAATCCAGAAGTTTTATGCAGAAACCTAAGATTAACATTAATCAGCTATATTTAAAGCCGAGACTTAGGCCTATCAGGAGTTAAAACTACTCATGTTTGACTTACCTCTCATGCATCATGTTCAAGCACTTCACCATTACTGCATTTAGGGACATTTTGGTGTTTTTTGTATTACAATAGCGTCTACAAGCATCATAAAAAGACCATGATCTAAGAACAAGAAAATTAAAGGGACTTGCAAACAGAGGAAAATAACTGATGCACTTCTTATAGCTGAATAGCTATTCTTGAAAGGAATCCTGACACTCCAGGTGAAAAGTACTTTATATAGGAAAGCTGAACTGGACATGCAGGCTTGTAGATGACACCACGAGCTACTCTCAAGCACTTAAGTGCTTGCAAATCCAGTTCTCTTCAAATATTAGTCTACAGGAGGAACACTAGAACATTTGCTATCCTTCCTTTCTGTTTTCTTCCTAGTTTTTATCTACTCTTACCTAAAAAGCTTCGGTATGCATACCTTCTGTTTCTCCTTCTTCTGAAGAGATAAGGATAGTTCCTTTTCCATCATCTATTTGGACATCTGGTGCTACCATAGCAAATTTTTCTTTCACTATCTGGAAAGATGAATAGGATTTAATCTATATCTGGCTTAAAAACACTTATAAGAGAAAACACCTTGGATTAAGTTGATTTTCTTATCTTAGCCCATTTTCAGGCATCTGCTGAAAGCCTGTATATTTTTTTTTATTTTCATTAACAAAATAACTATATTTTTGCTGTCTGGAACCTACAGCTAAGGAAACATCAAAAAATTTTTAGTATACTTCATAAAACGACAGAATTGCAAAATCAGTTGTGGCTACACAGCTGCAATGTGCCTGCTTAACTATTCAACTGAAATTCAAATTTCTTTTTTTTTTTCCCCATTAGATAAAAGTAGGCTTTAAAAACCACTAAAAAATTACAAACCCCACCATTATTTCATAAGGTATACAAGCACACATAAGCAAGAAGCACAATGGCTTATCTAGCTCTTCTTGTAGCTGAGGGAAATGTAAAATGTATAACAAAGAAGCAGCTGATATTCAGTCAAAATATTCTGAACAAACCCCTAATAATTTACAGTATTAAAAGCAAAATGAGAACTGTAGGTAATATTCAAGACTTACCTTATCTTGGAGTGTTAGCACAGTAACTTTGTGTACATTAAGTTTCACAGTCACTTCTGGCTTACTTGCACATACGTAACAGTTAGGATTTGGTGGGTCCAAAGCACAAGGAACCAATAGCTTCTTTCTGGGATTTGGCTGCTTGTTCAGAAAAATCTTGAGGCAGACAAGAATAAACCAAGTTATCCTCTAAGTAACAGCACTCATAAAATATGTTTCCCTAGAGACTTATTCTCTTAGTCTCACAGATTGCCCTGTTCCCTA